AAACCTGGGCTTCCATACCACCTCAGCAGTGCCACAAACTGATCACCTCCATGCCACGCCGAATTGAGGCAGTAATTAAAGCAAAAGGAGCCCCTACCAAGTATTGAGTACATGTACAGTAAATGAACATACTTTCCAGAAGGCCAACAATTCACTAAAAATGTTTTTTTTATTGGTCTTATGAAGTATTCTAATTTCTTGAGATAGTGAATTGGTGGGTTTTTGTTAAATGTGAGCCAAAATCATCACAATTAAAAGAACCAAAGACTTAAACTACTTCAGTCTGTGTGCATAGAATTTATTTAATACACGAGTTTCACAATTTGAGTTGAATTACTGAAATAAATGAACTTTTCCACGACATTCTAATTTATTGAGATGCACCTGTATATATCTATCGATCGATCGTTCGTTCTGTGGTTCTATCTATCCTTCTCTGTCTGTCTGTCTGTCTGTCTGTCTGTCTGTCTGTCTGTCTGTCTGTCTGTCTATCTATCTATCTATCTATCTATCTATCTATCTATCTCTCTGTCTGTCTGTCTGTCTGTCTGTCGTTCTATCATTCTATCTATCATTCTAACTTTCTCTCATTCTATCTATTGTTTTATCATTCTAATGTTCCATCACTCTATCTAGTTATATCTATCATTCTGTTGTTCTATCTATCTATCTATCTATCTATCGTTCTATCTATCGATCTATCATTCGATCTGTCGTTCTATCATTCTAATGTTCCATCACTCTATCTAGTTCTATCTATCTATCTATCTATCTATCTATCTATCTATCTATCGTTCTATCTATCGATCTATCGTTCGATCTGTCATTCTATCATTCTAATGTTCCATCACTCTATCTAGTTATATCTATCATTCTGTTGTTCTATCTATCTATCTATCTATCTATCGTTCTATCTATCGATTCTATCTATCGTTCTATCGTTCTGTCATTCTATCGTTCTCTGTTGTTCTATCTGTCATTCTCTCTATTGTTTTTTCATTCTATTGTGCTATCTATCTATCTATCTATCTGTCTATCTATCTGTCTGTCTGTCTGTCTGTCTGTCTGTCTGTCTTATCGTTCTGTTGTTCTATCGTTCTGTCATTCTATCGTTCTCTGTTGTCCTATCTATCATTCTCTCTATTGTTTTTTCATTCTATTGTTCTATATGTTGTTCTATCTATCTATCTATCTATCTATCTATCTATCTATCGTTCTATCTATCGAT